AGCAACACCACCACAGGTCAGACAGTCATCACCACCAGCACCACCACAGGTCAGACAGTCATCACCACCAGCACCACCACCACAGGTCAGACAGTCATCACCACCACAGGTCAGACAGTCATCACCACCAGCACCACCACCACAGGTCAGACAGTCGTCACCACCAACACCACCATCACAGGTCAGACAGTCATCACCACCAGCACCACCACCACAGGTAAGACAGTCACCACCACCACAGGTCAGACAGTCACCACCACCACAGGTCACAGTCGTCACCACCACAGGTCACAGTCGTCACCACCAACACACATGTCAGCTCAGAACTAAACTACTCACATCACCACTACTTACCACTTCTCTCTGTGGTTCAGTATTTCTTCAAGATTTTGTTAAATTTAACGATTTATCTTTCCTTAGTCTGTCTCTCAGTATCAGTTAAACAAAAGTTTTTAGAACAAGATGTTACGTTAAAATAACCAGCCCGTCTTTATTAACAATGGCCAAAGGCTCGTTAATCCAGCCGCCAAAGCCTTTGTCTTTAAATGAAGAAGACTTTACACACGAATCACAACAGATATATGTACTTGAATAGTGCTTCATTCGCGTCATCTGCTTGAAGCACACCTCTCTAAATGCTTCACCAACGAGCTGTAAATAACCCAAGTTTTTCTAACCGTTCAACACATTATAATATGTAATAAAATTGCCATATATTTCAGGAAATGCAAAAGTATAATGTTCAGAACGTTAAAGTTGACGAATACGTTTTTGAGATCGGCCGCTGCCTGGACGAGTCTGGCCACAGGACAGGTAATAACCAAGAGACCCTAAACACCTAATCTAACCTAGACCTAACTATACATAGAAGTTTAATAGAAAACTCCTTCTGAAGATCTATTAATATACGAAAGTACTTAAGGAAATTCCTGTTTCAATTTCCCTCCGTGGTCTGACACTCATATTTTTAATCACGTGTTTATTTTCGTGATTTACACACATAGAAGTTTAATGAATGTTAATATTAATTAACAAACTAACCAAATTTTAACTCCCAGTACGTTAAAGTTGACGAATGCATCTTGGGGTAATGCCGCCGCTTTAACGACCTTGGCGTGAAAACAGTTTGACAAATACAAATAATTGCCAAAGGTATCTAAACACTTGACCTAACCTACACCAAAATAAGCAAAATATGCTAATTTATAGTATTAATTTATGTTTAATAATATTTTATTTGCAGGTCGGCGTTCAATCCCCGACCGTCCAAGTAGTTGGGCACATTCCTTTCCCCCCCCCCCCCCGTCCTATCCCAAATCCTTATCCTGACCCCTTCCAAGTGCTATATAGTCGTAATGGCTTTGCGTTTTCTCCTGATAGTTCCCATCCTTTAAGATATTTTGATTTATAATGAACAGCATGTATGTTAAAATTTGGGAATGTGTCTATGGGGGTCGGCCGTTGGATGGAAGAGCATTAGAGGAGAACCAGTGGAGACTAACCAGGAGCGAATGTTGCTACCTCACTCTTTATTTCAGGTATATGTAGTTTCGATGAATATATGACTTGTTTTACATGTAAAGTATATATGTTGTTTGTTGCCGAGAATATCTCACTATTCCTATGGAATATGAATCTGAGTGTCCGATAGCTAGTAAACAGAGAGTTTGAGAGTCACCCCAGACCAAGGACATATATATATATATACATGTAGAGTCTGAGAGCTGACACGTAAAGTGTCTGAGAGCTGACACGTAAAGGGTCTGAGAGCAGCAAAATACAGTGTCTGAGAGCAGAAACGTACCGTATCTGACAGAAAGTTACGTACAAGGTCTGAGAGACGTACAGTGTCTGAGAGCCACCACGTACAGTGCCTGAGAGCCACCACGTACAGTGTCTGAGACCCACCACGTACAGTGTCTGAGAGCCGTCACGTACAGTGTCTGAGAGCCACCACGTACAGTGTCTGAGAGCCACCACGTACAGTGTCTGAGAGCCACCACGTACAGTGTCTGAGAGCCACCACGTACAGTGTCTGAGAGCCACCACGTACAGTGTCTGAGAGCCACCACGTACAGTGTCTGAGAGCCACCACGTACAGTGTCTGAGAGCCACCACGTACAGTGTCTGAGAGCTGTCACGTACAGTCTGCAAGCTGGCATTTACACAAAACATTTGGCTCATCGCAATAGGCACTGAAATTTCCGATTTAATGCTTCACTCATAATCAATATTGATTCTTAGAGCTGATCTAATAGTAGAGTGATGTGATTTTCTCTTTAATGGACACATCACCGCGGTCTCTAATTATGTTCTTAAAATCACAGTGACTTCCGTTTTCACCTCTTAGTGTACTTCCTTTCTCTGTCTCATAGACAGTACTGTGTGTGTCTCATTGACAGTACTTTGTATCTCCATAGACAGTACTGTGCGTTTCATAGACATTAGTGTGTCCCTCATAGAGTACAGAATGTCTATCATAGAGTAAAGAATGTCTCTCATAAACTACAAAATGTCTTTCATAAACAGTAATGTCTCTCAAAGATATTAGTGTGTTTCTTATTGAGAGCAGTGTGCCCCTCACAGACAGCAGGGGTATTGTCTCTCATAAACAGTATTGTATGCCTCATAAACTACAGTCTGTATGTATCTCATTGACAATAGTTTGTTTCTCATTGACAGTACTATATGTTTCATTGATAGTAGTGTGTCTTTCAATGATAATTAATATCTTGTGTCTTACAGACAGTATTGTGCCTGTCATGGAGAGTACAGTGTCTCTCATGGGCAATAGTATGTCTCTCATAGACAGTAGAGTATGTCTCATAAACAGTGGTGAATGTAAAATGCCAACCACACTATCGTGGATAATAAAATTTCAGCCATTTGGGCACTAGGAGACTTGAACCGTGAACCCCAGTAACTTTTGTCTCCCGCTCCTGGTGTTGGCGGTTCCATACACCAAGGGCCCAAGTGAATGAAACAATAGTGAATGTCTATGTAACAATAGTGTGTATGTGTATCAGTTACATTTGTGTGTCTGTCATTGACAGTAGTAAGTCTGTCATAGACAGTAGTGCGTCTTTGATAGACAGCTATGAATGTTTCATGGACAGTTGGGTATGACTATGAACAGTAATGTATGTTTAATAAACAAAAGTGTGTCTCCCATTGACAGTAGAGTATTTCTCAAAGACCTCTGTGTATCTCGTAGAGAGTATAGGGCTTCTCGCATAGACAGTTACGTGTGCGTCTCTCTCTTGGACAGTATTGTGTCTCATAAACATTAGTGTCACCTAGACAGTAGAGTCTAATATAAACAGCAGTGTCTCCCTTAGACGGTAGAATATGTGTTTCATAGACAATAGTGTATCTCATTGACAGAAGTGAGTCTCTCATTGACCATAGTGTGTCATTGAGTAGTGTATATCTCATAGACAGATTTACCCTATTCCTTTATTGTTTTTAATAGACGGAAGTAACCCTTCTTTCTCTCTTACTCTCAAATACTTGAAAATATATTGTCACTCTCACTTATTGGTGTATGTTTTTTCTCTTTGTTTTCCTCTACGAACAATCGAAATACATTTCTCCCATCGTCACAGTGAGAGAGAGGTAACCCTTCCTTTACTATCTCTCTCATGGATTGGTGAAACTGTTACTATTCTCTTTCTCAAAATCAGCAACCATCTATTTCACATATATGGTAATGTTTAAGTCACTTTCCCTTGACAGAGAGGAGCAACGTATGCCTCTTACACCTTAATAGACAGTGAGTATGTCTTAAATATAGTTCTAAGGTAATAAAAGACAAAGGTAAAATTTCCATAACAAAATTATATATCCAACTGATTGGAAAAACAGTTTTTTCGGTCATTCAGGGACTGGCAAAAAGTTCGTAACTGTCTTTCATGGAAATTTATAGCTTTCCATTACTATATATTTACTATTTACAATTACTGTATATATATATATATATATATATATATATATATATATATATATATATATATATATATATATATATATATATATATATATATATATATATATATATATATATATATATATATATATTTACACAGGACGAATATTTCAGTCATTATTCCCCACAAAGAGCTTTTCGTCTCACAGACAATACCATCGTCATCACCATTACTTATTACTAACAAAGAAATGATGTAAGTTACAATTTAACATGATAGAACAATCATTCAATACTCTTACATAGTAAAGCAGTCCCTCCACCCCTTCTCACAGACAAAAGTTCCGCCACTCACCCACAAATAAGAGTACACTCACCAGAAATCCCTCACAGTCAAGAAAGACCGGACTACCACTCTCACTCAGTGAGACCTTTACTCTCACAGAGGAAACAGCATCCCCACCACTCTCTCACAGAGAAACAGCCCCCCCCCCATCCTCTCACAGAAAAACAGCATCCCCATCCTCTCACAGAGAAACAGCATCCCATCACCATCCTCTCACAGAGAAACAGCATCCCCATCCTCTCACAGAGAAACAGCATCCCCATCACCATTCTCTCACAGAGAAACAGCATCCCATCACCATTCTCTCATAGAGAAACAGCATCCCCATCCTCTCACAGAGAAACAGCATCCCCATCCTCTCACAGAGAAACAGCATCCCCATCACCATTCTCTCACAGAGAAACAGCATCCCCACTATTCTCTCACAGAGAAACAGCATCGCCATCCCCATCCTCTCACAGAGAACATCCCCACCACCACTCTCACAGCCACAGAGTGATCCTCCAACTTTCTATCACCCTCAGAGACAATAGTACCTCGCCCCACCCAAAACTCCCTCACGTGTCCAAGGGCACACTTTCAACCATATAATTTCTTTCTATCAATAGTACATGAAAGTTTTGTTCCCATGTCTGTCTGGATTAAAATATATTCGTATGGAACAGGTTTTGTGGTGGTATACTTAAGAGAAAACCTCAACCAACATTTCACCTGGAGATAGACACGTACCGTGTTAACTAAACACTATTCAGCTCCATTATTATCTCGATAACAGACTCCAAGTCCTAGCATCTGGTGAGGGAGACAGATTCTTATCACAGCTGCGATAAAGTGAATCAAATCAATAACTAACGAGGATGCAAACGGATGTTTGGTTCATAGTGGGATATCTCCTTAATCCCGAGACTCTTGGGCCCTTCGAAGTGATGTGCTCAAGATCAAATCTAGCGAGAATAGGATTATGATTTCCTTTAGTTTACTAACTCTCCAATATTCAGTGTCTTCGGAAAAATCCACAGGCATCACGATTATAATATGTACTGCATAGTCTTTCATCCATTCCAATTTGTTTTCAATACACGAATATTTTCGCGGTGGCGAAAAAAAGCGTGATCGCGAACGCGAGTGAGATCACCGTGGACCCACCGCCAGCGAGGCGCACATCCGCCCTACACCGAGCCACTAGCACAACTGACCAGACTCCACCCGCCTCACCGCCGCCTCCGGCCTCCGACCGCAACGTGAGAAATTATTTTTTTGCAGTCACACTGCCTAGGCCTGTGGCACAAGTTGGGCTATTAGAGCCGTGATTTATGGCGTGCAGTACCATGCATGACGCCAGGGCTTTGCTAGCCCTCAGTTTACACTTAAACACGGAATTACACCCAAGAACAATGTTGAGGTTGACGGCTGTATGGTTGAATGCCTTGCCCTGGTGCACATAGGTATTGGGCACATTACTGCTGGGCATCACTGGGTACAGAATAGTACTGCCTCCAGGCAACTGTCTCGTGTCATACAGTCGTACAGTTAGTTTAGTTCATGTATTATGCTGTCTATACTGATCTTGTGGGCGGTAGTGGGAAGGGTTACAGAGGCACATAATGGGTTCAGGGACTAAACATTACACTTCATTTAGCTGAGCAATCTTGATGGGCTAGTTGCAAAATTTAATACACATCGTCGTACAGAGAATGTAATTTTTTATTTCAGTATTCATCACCTATAGCAGCTAAACCACGAAGCATGAATCGCTTTCTCATAATATTTTGCTTTGAATAAATTTTTTCGCTAGAATATAATACTTAAACCTTTGCCACTTTGAATCATATGAATTATATGAATGACAAATTATGAATGGTTGTTTCTATATACCTCCCGAAATATACAGATAAGTAAATTCTGAAGCCAAAATTTCCATCATAACGTCCGAGAAAATTTCCCTCAGAGAGTCCTATCTTCTATAGTCGAGAGAAAGAGTGCTTGCACAACAACAGCCAACACACACACCAAATTACACTCTGCCATTTCTGAAATCACGGCGAAACTTTCATTACAATCCCCAGCCATCATAGGAACAATAGAGATTGATAAGCTGCTATGGACTTATTGGCCAATAAATGAGGTGCTTCACTTTTTCCTCATCTCAGACTTTATATCCAGAAACATGAAACTTTGTAACCATTTGAACTCTGTTAATCATGATGTTAACGAGATTTAACGAACTCTTAGCGTCAGAACAAATTAAATTGTAAAAATGAACTTTGGAGAGTTAATTTTTCCACTTCCTTCTCAAGTGAAGAAAAATAGAGATGATTCGCTCTAGAATCAATGATCTCACCCTTTCGGTCACACACACACACACTATATATATATATATATATATATATATATATATATATATATATATATATATATATATATATATATATATGCGAACAAGCATGAACTGTCTCCAGGCATATATGCAACTGACAACTCACACCCCAGAAGTGACTCGAACCCATACTGCCAGGAGCACTCTGCATCTGGCGTACAGGACACCTTAACTACAGACAACTTGACACTATCTGGCGTACATGTCGAGTTGTTAAGGTGTCCTGTACGCCAGATGCAGAGTGCTCCTGGCAGTATGGGTTCGAGTCACTTCTGGGGTTGCCCTGAAAATCCCCATTTGCCCTGAAAAAGAAGGGGGGGAGGGATCAGATCCATCCCGTCAGTAATGCTCTCCGCCGCCTAGTTGCAAGGGCTGCTGTCAGAAGTATCCGAATGGAAGCAGCCACCATGCTGCAACCTAACCAGCTGGGGTTTGAAGTCTTCCAAGGCTGTGAAGCAGCGGCCCATGCTGCACGAGCTTACATTAGTTCTCTTACTGAAGACCAGGCAGTAGTAAAATTAGATTTCAAAAACGCTTTCAACTCGGTCAAAAAGGAAATAGTCCTCACTGCAGTCCAGGAACATTACACCTAGCATTCTTCCCTTTGTGTCAGCAGGTTACTGCATAAACTCAACCCTCCTGTTGGCAAATACGAAGTCACCTCAGCAGAGGGAATTCAACAGGGAGTCATACCCTTCAAGCTTTGGGCTGTTGTAAGATGGGGCGCACCTCAGAAAGTAGGTTAGCCTCGTAAGGAATAGACATTTAGTGAGGAGATAAAAAGCATCGTTTGCATCGATGTCATCTGTTTTCCATCCACCTGAGGTCTGTGATTTTCTTGTCGAGGATCTCCTCAATGGCGTTAGACCCGAGGAGGGCTCCAAGGAGAGTGCTGATGACAGCCCTAATGACATGAGCTCAGGGCAGGATGGATCTTATGCTAGCTATGATGTCTGGGTTGGAGGAGACTACTTCACACTTGGGAGGGTTTAGGACGAGACCCAGGCTTACTTCTTGCTTCTTTATTTTTATGATGTCTTCCAAGAGGTGGTCTAGGGGGGCCAACTATAGTGCCATCATGAAAAAAAAGATGATTATATATATATATATATATATATATATATATATATATATATATATATATATATATATATATGACCGAAAAAGTAAGATTAATAATTCTAACACGAATTTTCTCAATATTTCTTATGTTTCTTTTCACTGTCGATGGTAATTGAAAAATCAGTTCTCCAAAATTCATTTTTATTTCTAGTCTGACCCGACACTTGAACGCGTTTCGTAATTTTTTCCGAAAAAACATTTTCAATGTTATAAAAAATAAATGTTATGTACAGAGGTAAATTAGTGGGTATAAGCAGAGAGCCTGCATGGCCAGCGAGATGTTAGGATACTGTAGTGGATGAAGTGATAGGCCAAAGATTTATGTAAAGTGCAGAGGTCAATAAACAGCAAAATTGAGGAAAGATTTTTTACGGGAATGTTGGGGCAAGTGATGAAGGCAGACAGGTGGGACGAGTAAATTCGAATGAATCTAGGGAGCGGGGAATGAGTGTGTGAGGTAAAGGATGCGAGAATGTGAGGAAATGTGTAGTAAGAGTATGAGGGAGCGGGAAGGGAGTGTGTGAGGGGCGGGGAGGGAGTGTGTGAGGGGCGGGGAGGGAGTGTGTGAGGGGCGGGGAGGGAGTGTATGATTGGGCAGGGAGGGAGTGTGTGAGGGGGCGGAAGGGAGTGTGTGAGGGAGGCGAGAAGGGAGTGTGTGAAGGGGGCGGGAAGGGAGTGTGTGAGTGAGCAGAGAGGGAGTGTGTGAGGGGCGGGGAGGGAGTGTGTGAGTGAGCAGAAAGGGAGTGTGAGAGAGAAGGAAGTGTGGCAACACATGGGACATGGTAGAGTACAAAACTGGTTGGTAGCGAGTTTATGTTTCCCAAGACGTTGCTGTGGTATCGTTAGAGGCAACATCGTGGGATGTGGTAAGTCCCACTGTTCTACTGAATTCATGAGTCAGCTAAGTTTATCCGTAAAATATGCGTATTACTCATTAAATAATCTCTAGCTTTGTCACATTTAATTTTGTATATGGAATTAGAGTAAAACAAAAAACATACTAATTATACTGTAACCTTCCATCACTTTATATTAAATCACGTTACTTTTTCATTTATATTTTAATGAAGCTTTATGTTGTACACCCGTTGTGGCTTTATTCTAGATACTAAACTCACCGTTAACAGACGCTCCAAGTATTGAATGAGGAGGCAAGATCAGTGCAAAAGTGGGGGAACGGTACTTATCATTGAGTATATTTGGCTAACCGTTACTAGGCTTCCTTACCCGATGCTAAACAAACTAAACCTTTAGCTTTCTAAGCAAACAGCTACAGCGTCGAAATGATAAATTAATAACGTTTACAAATGTCGAGTAGTGTATGTGGTGCGTTGTTTACAATATTGATGTGTAAACTGTTATGCATGAGCACTTGTTGATAGATCAAGTGAGTAATTCAGTGTTACGAGAGAGCAACATTATTATTTCATAGCTTGGGTATTGATTTTTGTCCGCCACAACCAGAGCAGAAGAGATTTCTTGATATATCTTGTATTGAAATGCCTGATACAAACGCATTTACCAAATGGTTCTACTACTGTGAAGATACACTATTGCTTTCTGTTTACACAGGTCACAGCTTGATAATATTTTTTCTGTTCATTTTAATTAATAATTACGAAAGTAATTTGTATAATTTTTGCAAATATGTTTACAAATCTGAACATATTTACCTGAGGGTATCTATTATAGATATATATAATATAGATATATTATATCTATATTATAGATATATATAATATAGATATAATAGAGGCCACTAGATAGATAAGCCATCTATCTAGTGGCCTTATCTGGGACAGGAAGACGGTGGCTTATCACAGATGCCTAACCTCATTTTTTCCTGCTGATTTTATCCAACTGGATTTTGAACTGAACATTTACTGCTTCGGTGGGTACGCGGTTCCATGGATTTATAACCCAATGGGTGAAAAAGCATCTTCTATTTCCTTCCTACATTGTGGCTTCCTGAGCTTGGAGCTGTTGCCCTTTGCATGAGTTACATTTGACCTTTCAGAGACGTGGTCTGGATTAAAATCCTCCAACTTGTCCAGTGTATTAAAAACTTCGATGAGATCAGCCTTGTAATGCCTAGTTTGCAGTGTAGCTAACTCCTGTGGCCCTCAATCGTTCCTGGTATGAGAGTCGACTTAGTTCTGGGAGGATTTTTGGTGAACTATCTTGAGGTTATCTTGAGTTGATTTCGGGGCTTTAGTGTCCCAGCGGCCCGGTCCTCGACCAGGCTTCCACCGTCGGTAAGCAGCCCGTGACATCTGACTAACTCCCAGGTACCTATTTAGTGCTAGGTAACAGGGGCATAGGGTGAAAGAAACTCTGCCCATCGTTTCTCGCCGGAGCTCGGGATGGAACCCTCGACCACAGGATCACGTGTGCAGCGTGCTGTCCGTTCGACCGGCCGGTTCCCATGAGAAAGTTCAACTATGTTGAACTTTCTCCAGAGTAGATGTGTCCTTTAGAAGATAAGGCCACCGAGCTTCAATATATTATCGGGGAGCGCCAGATATTTCAAGAGTTGAATAACAACTTTCTTTTCATAGAAATCAAATGCTAGCTCGACTATTTCTAGAGTTTGGGTGTATTTTTTATATTTACTCCAGTCCTCACTTGCCCAACTTTCACTGGCTGGTCGATTGTGCCTCCAACG